ATTCATCAGAGGATGAATGCTCCACTCATGCCACTCACCCACAGATTTACTCAATGCTCCACAAATAAGAGAGCAGATTGTAAATACGCATTAATTAAAAAAAAACTAACCCACAACACACCTCAGTGACGTCACTTCAACATTAAGAGGAGTGTCAAAGTGGCGTGTGATGCAGCCTACTGGGTAATGCTACTAAAACTGGTTAATATGCGGCTAAACTGCCAATCAGATGATGGTTGCCTCTTTTATTTTTACGCGCTGAGTAATGTTAATCGCGTGAGCAATATAACTCAAGTGTTGCCCAGATCGCTCGTCATTCTTACGTCTTCTGCCCGTGCTACATTTCTTTTTCAGCACAGGTTACAACACAAGCGAATTATAGAGGCGCTGTCCAATTTTGTCTGATAAGCCAAAGGAAGAGGTGTGTATCCAAGTTTCCGAAACGTGTTTTATATTGATATCTACCTATATATCTATCTACCTATCTATCTATCTGTCTATCTACCTACATATCTATGTATCTGTCTATCTTTCTATCTATCTATCTATCTACCTACATATCTATGTATCTTTCTATCTATCTATCTACCTATCTATCTACCTACCTATCTATCTTTCTATCTATTTATCTATCTACCTATCTATCTATCTATCTATCTACCTACCTACCTACGTATCTATCTATATATCTATCTACAGTTCTTTTTGTTGAACCTTGGCCACTTTTCAGTTTCTTCATTCTATACAGGGTCGGTAGGACTCCTTGGACAGGGGATCAGGCCGTCGCAAGGCCGCTACCTACACACAGAACAACACGGACACAGAATAAACGCACACAGACATCCATGGATTAAGTGGAATTCGAACCCACGATCCCAGCGTTCGAGAGAGCGAAAACTCTTCATGCCTTAGAATGTGCGGCCACTTTTGTATTGATATAGGAGTAATTAAGTTACAGAAATTGAAGGGCTACATGGCTCTCAACAATTCTTCGAGGCAAATTCAGTGGTAGTAACGAAATTAGACCACGACCCCTTCCTTCTAAATCTGTTCCATTTATACCATTCGACGTTATTTAATCTTAGTGCTGAAAGCTTCTTCAAGAAAACATAAAAATTGAACATGAAGACCAATATGATTACACAGTCCGGAAGTGCGTCTGCTGGAAACACGAGCGCTCCTATTGCGGGACCGAGCTGGCTCACATTTCGTACGAAGGATCTACGCGAAACTTGGCGCACGTTAGGGGACACTGTAAATGCAAAATAAGCTTTCAAAGTGCATCTTTTGAATCTTTTGGTTGTGTTTTATGAAATTTGTAAAGTAACATTTCAATTTTACGAATAATTTATGTATCATTTACGTTTGATTAATTTTAAGGACCACTTTATTTAAACTCCTAAATAAATATAATTTTATTTGTAAGAAACGTACGACAAAAAATTATTATCATCAAAGTTGCAAATATTATTAAAGGACACGAGATTTCTCTCTCATGCACCACAGTTTATTAAAGTTCATTTCGAGAATATCACTAGTACAAGAGGAAGAAATGTTAACGTTGTCTTAGCAGCTTTCTTAATACCAGTTACTGCGAAAAATAGCTGCGTTACGCGTACAGAGGTAGATTGTTTCTACTGCTGTGAAATTGCTTTACTTCGTACATGTAATTTATTTATTATTCAAAAAAATCAGAACGTCTGTAGCTTACCGGGATATTCATCCGGCCAAATCGATTCTCGGACCAACTTCTCGGAGGTCCGCTTTATTTGGGAATTCGCGGACTCCGGGTCAGTAACCATCGATGCAAAATTCACATAACGCCGAACTAATTTATGGGTATATTTTCCAGATCTGCAGAAATTCACTCAACATTCAACACAAGATGGTGGCCATCGCGCTGAACCTCTTTGTCGCCATCTTTATCTTAATTTGGGCCTACTTCACCATTAAGACGCGCCATATGGCGAGACTGGCGAAGAAAATACCGGGCCCCAAACAGTCTCCCTTCTGGAAGAAGCTACTGAAATTACGTACAGGCTTTAAGACTGCAGGTAAATAAACGCGATTTGAAACATCAGGAGCGTTGTATTGTGCTTTCCGGTGTATTTTTTATAATTCGCTTAGTGGGGGTTGGAGTCCAACTGGGTCCACTCGGCACGGCGGCCACTGATTGGCCTACTGTAGCCTGCCCCGGGTGATTATGATGATGGAGAATTTGGCGGAATGAAGATTGGCAGGGGAAACCAGCGCCACTTTGTCCACCACAAATCCCACTTGACCAGACCCCGGAATCCCGGGCCGCCGCGGTGGGAAGCCAGCGACTAACCGCTTGAGCTATGGCGCGGCATTTTTTTTTAATTTAAAGCATCAGGAGCATTGTATTGTGCTTACCTGGGTAAGACAAACTGATTCATAAGAGACGTTAAATTTCAGGACAGAAACATACGAACGCTTACATTTCTGTGTTTTTTATTCTTCAAAAAAAAAAATGTGGGCCCAAACTGGTGGTACGTGTGAATTGGTACATTCAGATGCAGAATTTAAATGCAATATTCCTGTGTACAAGTGTGATATTTCTTGAGTAAAATGTTCTATGTAAGTTCTAGGCACGATCTATCAGTGATATTTAAATTAATGTTACAATATAAATGAAAGCTTTCGACCACACAACGTGTTATATGCGTAGCCTGCTGTCTATCGTTAGAGCACGGGGGATCCACTAGAAAAATCTAGCTTTTTATAGTCCTACGTACTATTTGGGAAGAATATAACATCTCTCTCAAATTTTCGCTAAAATTTTGATGTGAAAGAATCAGTTTGCAGTTTTATTGAAAAATTGGTGCGTAATAACAAATTTTACTTCACCTGTCAAGCTAAATAAACTTAGCTGTCTTAGGAGGATATGCAAAGCAAAGAGAATTATACATTTGCTAACATAATTCTAGCACAACTCTAGCGTGATCTGTGACAGCCGAATGTTGTAGGATCTAGCAAAGAATGTGGTAATCATATTTATTTCAGACATGTTTCAAAATATGGTGCAGATTTCCAGAGAGTATGATTCGACCTTCTGCTTTTGGAAGGGCTATGAGCTCTTCGTTTTTGTGCAAGATGTCAAACATATTGCGGTAAGTTGCCTACTGTATTCCTAATATTATTATACAAGCGTCTAGATTAATGATATGGCAAAATTACGTAGTTCAAATTGTGGTACCCCTGAGAATTCTAATGCACAGATACCTCAGTTCAATCCCACAGTATTTGAAAGTTATAATGAACGATCACTCATGTATGTATGTATGTATGTATTTATGTGTGTGTAAGGGTAGGCCATGCCGGTCACGGTAGCCGAGCGGTCTAAGGCGTGCACTGTCTTCGCTCGCTCGGAAGCCGGGATCGTGGGTTCGAATCCCACCCAGGGCATGGATGTTTGTGTGCGTTTTTCTGTGTTTGTCTACAGGTAGAGGCCTTGCGACGAGCTGATCACTCGCCCAAGGAGTCCTACCGCATATGTAAGATCTAGTAAACCGAAGTGAAACGGAGAGTTTCATGGAGGTAGGCCTAGGCCCAAATTGGAGCTGTAGCGCCACAGAAAAAAAAAGGTAGGCCATAGTAATTTGGCCCTTGGACTGGGCCCATCACTGATCTATTATGTTTCCCTTTTGATTAACACTTTATTAATCCTACACTTCAGATAAAATGGTGACCGCCTCTGTGGTCCAGTGGCCAGAGTTCCTGGCTACAGATCCAGAGGTCCGGTTTCGATTCCCGGCGCTACCAGAATTTCTTATAAATGGAGGGTCTGGAACGGGGTCCACTCAGCCTCGTTAGGATAATTGAGGAGCTATTTCAAAGAAATAGCGGCTCCGGTCTAGAAAACCGAAATTAACGGCCGTGGGGATTCGTTGCGCTGACCACGCGACACCCTCTATTCGCAAAAGTTGCCACTAATTTCTCCGACAAGCGGCGGCCGCTCGGTCGGTATGGTTCGCTTACGGACTAAAACCACGGAGTTTGTGTGTGTGTGTTTCTCTTGTAAGTACTGGCTGATGTATTCCAACTGCCACGAATTATTCAATGCACTACACTCATCACTTGTGCTCTCTTTTAGGCTCTGTTATCGGACGGCGAGGAAGTGAACAAATCATGTACTTACAAATTCTCGGTACCCTGGCTCGGCTCAAGCCTACCAATCGCTGAAGGCAAGTCTACCGCACTACTTGATGGGTGCTACAGTCTTCCTACAATGGAAATGTATGGACTACACTTTCTCTTAACAGACGAACACTGCAGCGAAAGTCAGGTGTGGTGCTGAGGGCTTTAACAGAATCATCCGGAAAGAACATTAACTTCACTATCCTTTCAGAAATGATAAATTAACAACAGTGCAACTGTGTATTTCAATGCAGAATTTCGTTACTATAGGACTACACACTTAACAAGAAATTTGACATAAATACAGTATGCTTCAAAATAATCAGTACTGAAATGAAAAGACGTCCTGTTGATACCATTGTCTATTCATGTGAAGGCCGCTTGCACGACATAACCTTCTCAAATCCCGAAGAAATGGTCCGATCACCATGTCCCTGTAGCGTTCTTGGGTGACGGTAAGAGCATTGCCTTCCTCATCTCATCCTCAATGAAATAGGGGCCTAATATACCGTGTGCTGAGACGGCACACCATAGCGTCACACGTGTACTGTGTAGCGGTTTCTGGGCGATAACATCTTGCCGCTCAAAACCAAGGAAGCGAGTTGTCTGGCGACAACTTCAGTATGAGCGGAAATAATACTCAACTATGGATACTTTTACCTTCGTCGAGAGACCCGTTTCCAAAAACTGCACAATACACCTTCCTTTTTACTACTGGGAACACGTGCGGCTGGAGCTATGCCCCATCGACAAACGCACATGCGCGTTCGAGATGCACGAATTTCATTACTGCAGTCGGTCATCTAGCCCGTAAGCAGTCACTATACTGCCTACGCTATCCCAGATTGAACAGAAATCTGAATGTAACTAATGGGCCAAGCTGCTAATTCAGCTACAACAAAAACTGATAAAGTGATGGTATATACTTCGTATTTCTAAGACCTCTACCACACAAAATTTCTGGACTATTCAGTAAAGGGCGCTAGTGTCGCTGTCATCTCAGAAGTTCGAACGACCGCTACATCCACATTATAGATGGAGGAGTGTTGAGATATTCAGAGGCTGGTTAGCCTTCAATGTACTGACGCCTGCGTCAGGTTCGTGAATATCCGTCAACTGACTTTCAGCTCATTTGGGGACTGCATACAACACACACACACACGTACACGACAGACATAAGTTCTTAAAGTCTACTTTACTTTAGAAAGATATTTTGTCTTCCTTATGTAAATCTGCAAGCATGTTAACTCTAAAATATGGCTGCACGCACAAAGTAAATTTCAATCTAAACTTATTGCTTGTCATTGTGCAGGTAAGAAGTGGAGAATCCGACGCAAGTTGATCGCACCCGAATTCCGCCCCTCAACTCTCGAATCTAGTGTTCAAATCCTGAACTCCAATTTGGACAAACTGATTAACAGACTGTCCACATTCGTGGGTGGTCCTGAGTTCGATGTGCATCCCTTTATGATTTTACACTCTTTCGACAATGTGTGTGGTGAGTTAAGGGCCCGCTTATCATAAGGTGCGCTGTTAACAGGCCTAGCTTGCACCATGATGTCCTAACCACGGAATTCTTACTTTCAGAAACATTTATGGGCGCGAAGATGAACGCTCAACAAAACAGTGAGTCGGAATTCGTGAGGGCAATCAAGGCGTAAGTTCAATACAATCCATAGTCATGACTCTCGAAAACCATAATAATAATGATCAGTTCAGCAATTCACAGACAAGGGATAATCAGAACTGGGACAGTAAACAATAGAACCAATTACGTTAACTGGACAAGCGAACGAACTCGGTAAGTTTTCTCCGGGTTTTCATGGCACTCAAGGATTAACAAGATGACTGCCTCACACCTGTGCCAATAAAGAAACTAACCTTCGAGATCAGAATAAAAATTTGAGATATGATAAGTACATCTAATTTTTCCAGGGTTAATGCATGTAACATTATGTTAGATCTTGCTGCAGGCGGCCAAATTCAAAGTAACATCATGTAAAGAGGTCATAGAAACAGAATAAGATTGGCAAGATTACTGGCCTCTGCTATGTGACAAGATGTAAATGTGAAACCCTCTTCTAGCCTTGACACGGAGACACTGAGATTTGCAAGTTTGTCATTACCATCTTGTAATTTTCTATGAGTTTCCTTAAGGGAAGAACAAAGCTTAGAAAGAAGATACATATATCTACTTCATTCAGCTATACCTCGTACCCGTATAGAAGTGCAGACGGGATAGGCCACGACAGTTTGGAAGGAACAAAACGAAACGAATAGTGAACCGTCCTTATCCTCGACTCTTCTGATCACGATATCACAATACTCCCACCTCTCTATTGGTTGATACTGTTAACAGGGTAGTCTACACAACAACAATATCCACAAACAAAAACAAATAAATACTAACATCAACATTCGATTATTGGGCAAATTTATTTCGCTACATTTTTCGACTTTCACAAGGTATTCATCATGGGAATTTACAAGAATTTAATCTTAGAATTAGAACTGTGTTTTTAAATATGGATCCATATTATCACAATTAATTTATTATTGTATATATTTGTTACATTATATTTAACAAAATTATAGTATTCTCTATCAAAATTAAATAAATTGTAATAATATGGACCCATATTAAAAATACAATTCGAATATTAAAATTGAATTCTTGTAAATTCGCCTGATGATGACCTTGTGAAGGTCGAAACATGTAGCGAAACACCTTTGCCCAATAAACGAATGCTGATATTTTAGTTTGTTTGTGGATATTATTGTTGTGTAAGCGGTAACATTCTTGTGTGACACACAAATGGATGCATAACATAAAGGTTTATTGGGTAGGTCACCGTGTCTCAACCCAATGGAAATGTTTACGATTATATTTTGAGAATAGAGCAGCTACCGGTAAAAAACGCGTGAAGTTCTTCTGGTCTTACGGATGCTTGTGACAGTAAGCCTATGAAGGTTTCACTGATTTCATGAGTTCCTGTTGTGTCCAATAGTGCATCCCCTACAGTGCACGCCCGGAGCCAGAACCCACTTCTGCACCCCGACCTGCTGTTCCACATGTCCTCTCTGGGGAGGCAACAAGCGAGATACCTGGCCACAGTGCATGCTACGAGCAAGGAGGCCGTGGAAGAGAGGGCGCAGCAACTGCTTCATGGCAAGGGTGAGGGGACATGCCTAAGACAAGGCCATATGCACTCTACAGACCAGGGTCTAATGGAGGGTTGCAAGAACCACCCGAATTCTTACATTAGTAACTGAATTATAATTGTATTATTTTAACAGAGTTTTACCAAATATGCAGATTATGTTTATTATGTTTCATAAATGTGCCCATTCAACGTTTTGTTCACAACAAACCAAAGCTGCATGTCAGGAATTTTGTTTGTGATGGATTTAGCTTCAGGTTGCCTCAAGAATTCTAGAACATCGATGAAAGACAGAGTCACTCGTGCAGTAGTTTTATCTTACAATTATGGTAATCATTATATTTATACATCGTTGAGTTTTTTCGCTGAATGGAAACTAAGACCTTGTCATTAGTACAGATAATGCTGTATAACACTCGGAAGTACTGGGTTTTTGGAAAGTGTCCATCATCCTGTATTTTAATAAACACAATCTCTCGGAAACTGCATCTGTGGAAGGGTGGGAGGCACTTATGCTGTTGAATCCATCCAAATTCACTAAAGCAGATACTGAGGTTAGCTCTTTCCATCCGACCATACTGGTGTCTTTTGTTTTTGGATGTGTGTTGCGAAGACCGCCTCTGTGGTCTAGTAGTCAGAGTTCCTGGTTAGAGATCGAGAGGTCCGGGTTCGATTACCGGCGCTACCAGATTTTCTGAGAAGTAGTGAGTCTGGTACGGGGTCCACTCATCCTCGTGATGATAACTGAGGAGCTATTTCAAGGAAATAGCGGCTCCGGTCTAGAAAACTGAAACTATCGGCAGTAGAGATTCCTTGCGCTGATGACGCGACACGCTCTATCCGCTAAAGTTGGCACTAACTTCGCCGACAAGCGGCGGTCGCTCAGTCAGTATAGTTCGCTTGTGGACTAAAACCACGGAGTCTGTTTTGTGTGTCGCGAAGGCCGATTTCTCCACATCGTTTTTTATATTTCTTATGTGTTCTTTGTATCTAATATTTATTCCAGTTTTTTCCTGTCTATGCAAAGTGTGCACTGCTGAATTCTATGAATGCGAGTGTATGTTCTCAATGTGTCATGCTGTTATGCATTTATATATTTAAGAAAGAAGTCTACACACTCTCAATTTTAAAGGAATTTTAATGTACACATTACGGTTAGAAATTAATGTATTCTCGCATGATTTCCGAAGGCCGGAAAAACGAAGTCAGAATAGACATTTATTGCTAGGCAACGACTCGTTAAACATATTCCTGCGGCAACGAATACGCTAGCGACAATCGAGTAACTTCCGTTGCTATGCAACGGCTCTGTAAACAC